ATCAAAGCTATCACTATAGCTCGCCACTTCAACAGAGGCGCGCAGCTGTTCGCCAATTGCTTACCTGAGTTGGCAGTTGACACCGACGGAAAGGAATCAAGAAGTTGTGTACAGCTATACCGCCGGATTTAGCGGAGCTGATTCAACAGTACCCCGACATCTTCCTCGATGATCTGCCACCTGTACTGCCACCCGAGAGACCGAGGACCACAAAATCCATATGGAACCTGGCGCGCAGCCGGCTGTTCGGACACAGTGGCGGTTGACCTAGCTAGAACTCGAGGAGCTGTGAAGACAAATTGACGCACTGTTGGAGAAAGGATTCATTCGAGCCAGTACGTCGCCTTTCGCAGCACCGATCCTGTTCACTCCGAAGAAAGAAGGTGCGCTTCGCATGTGCATCGACTATCGCGCGCGCAACCGGGTGACAATCAAGTCTCGCTATCCAATCCCACGCACCGACGACCCCCTTGGCCAACTTCGCAGTGCTCGCTATTTCTCGACGATTGACTTACGTGGCAGTTACCACCAGATCCGGGTCTTCACCGACGATTGCCACAAGACCGCATTTCGAGCTCGCTATGGAAGTTATGAATTCACGGTGATGCCATTTGGCCTGACGAATGCGCCTTCGGCTTTTCAGTTAACCATGAACTTGTTATTTCGGGATCTTTTGGACCGATGCGTCATTGTCTACTCGGACGATATCCTCATCTTTACCAAGACACGGAAGCAACGACTACGCGGCCTTGACGCAATGTTTGAGCGACTGCAGGAGAATCGCTTCATCACTAAGGGCTCTAAGTTTTTGGGCCACGTCTTTTTCCGCAACGTCATTCCCGGCGAAAATCAAGACGATACAGGAGTGGAAGTCCCCGACGAACGTCACTTCAAAGCGTTTTGGGGTTCGTGAATTACGTTTGGGGGTTTATCCCAAATATGGCGGGGATAACTGGCCCAAGTACTCATTACCCATTCAAACCCGCTACTTACTGGACTATTCACCCACGGCTACACTACGGACCCATTTTTCACGATTGGAAATCATCAGCAGGCCACGACGCAAAAAGGGGATTATTACCCATTTGACATGATTTGGGTTTCTGCTTACCAGCTGCTGCGTGAACTCCTTATCCAAGAGGTCCACGATTCCAACTTCTCCGGACATTTCGGGGTTGACAAAACCCAGAAATTGTTGCACCGTCAATACCATTGGCCTGACTCCTCTAATGACGTGCAGTAATATGTGTCCTCATGCAGACTGTGCCAAGCCATGAAATCGACATGTCAACGGCCAGCTGGATTGCTGCAACCCCTCGAGCCACCTGGACGACCGTGGCAACAGGTGATGATGGATTTTGTCACGGGGCTGCAAGCTGGACCGTCCGGCAACGACGGTGTTCTCGCCGTCGTTGATCGTCTGACAAAAACGGCGCACTTCGCACCGTATCGTATAACCTTCACAGCCGAAGATACCGCGTGCCTCTTTATCTCAACGGTTGTGTGACTGCATGGAATCCCCTCGGAGATTATCAATGACCGAGATCCAAAGTTCACGTCAAAATTTTGGAAGGAAACGTGGGTGCAGTACGGTACGAAGCTTCAGTTCTCCTCGGCATACCACCCGCAAACGGACAGCCAGACCAAGCAAACCAATCAGACCATGGAGCAGCTGATCAAGAAAAACGGCCCCGACCCCACTCGTTGGGGAGACTCGTTCACCATTCGGGAGTTTGCGTTCAACAACATCCCATCTAGCACGACTAATCACTCTTCGTTCTTCTTGAATCACGGGATAGACCTGACCGTGCCTACGACGGCAACACTCGACAATCCGGTCCCGCAGTCACAAATATTTGTGACGGAACTGCAGGAAGTTCGCGAACGGACGCAATCCGCAAGGCGAATACCACTTCCCGCAAATACATCGACCTTTTACGACGTGAACTCATCTTGGCAGCTGGGCAACTAGTGCTACTTGACACAAAAAACCTGCACCTACCCGGCCCGTCAAAGTTACGGCCACGATTTTGTGGGCCTTTCAAGATCATCAAGATGGTCACACCTGTCACCGCGAAGCTGCTGCTACCCGACGACTGGCGTATACATGACGCCTACCACGTCAGCTTACTTTGCAAGTTTGTGCCCGCCACGACAGACATTGCGCGACAAAATGCTGCACCAACAGCACGACCTTTATCGGAGCCGACCCTTGACCCGTCAAAAATTCTGGTGCATTGTGTACGACGCAGCCGGCTGCCACGTGGATTTTCTAATCCAATTGACTGATCAAACCAGTGAAGATGACATGTGGGTGCCATCCACCTCGCTTCTTGCGGATTACCTCGCGCGTAGGCGTGTTGCGGATGTTGATCACCTTACTAAAGGGGGGAGGGGGGGGGGGGGGGGGGGGGGGGGTAGTGTAAGGAATTTTCCCAATTTCCTTATCGGGGTTGACTGCTTCACCTATAGCCCCGATTTTCGGACTCCGCACGTTCGGCCGACATCAACGATGCCAAGGCTCCTTGCGCCGCCTTTGGCTTCTCCCTTCGCCAAACCTGCACCCAACCTCGCTCACCTGAGGTTCCCTCCTAGCTATGCTAGCTACTAAATTAGCACGTGACTTCATTGTATTCTCAGTTCTTGCAATCATAGTTCGTTATTCTGCGCAGTCTCTTTTAAAACTCATAACAATCACCTACATGGAAAATTGTGTTTGAATACGTTTCCGGCAATGACAATTACTAGTGTGCCATGGATCTCGCCTGATGGCTTTAAGGAGCTTGTTTATGAAGGCCACATGTCAGTTGGTAATACTGATAATGGTTTTGGAACCGCCTTAACTTTATGAAGTTGTACGTACACTTCTCGTGTCCAACTGACGGACATTGTGCCAACTGCCACAAGGGGTCTCGTTTACCTTTCAGTTACTAACTCCAAGGTCTTGCGTCAAGCTCTATGGCTGATCAATGCGACAAGGTCCAGGTGGGACACCTGTTTCTTATGTCGTCAACAAGGGACTCATCATCGATTCCATGACTGTTTACCATTGGTCAGGTACATTCTACAAGATTTTGTTAAAATATGAGAATGAATGACAAGAATAAGCAAGTACATGGGTTCATATAACAAACCTAACCCTAGCACAAACCAAGATGTACACCTAGACTAAACAATGCCTACTATAACAATTATAGTTTGACACACCCCCATAGTCTAGGTGACGATAGTCATGTGGAGAGCAACAAACAATCCAAGTCCAAGGGTCACAAGACTAGTTCACAAGAACAAAGCAACTCTCAGGGTGGATCTCAAGATCATCACACAGTCTGAGAACAAGCAAGGGGCCACAAGGCTAGTCCACATGCAAATATATAGCATAAATAAGAGATGCAAGAGTACAAGACATGCATGACAAGCATCCCTACAGAAGCAAGTGACCACAAGGCCTATCCACAAGTACACATATAGAATATATAGTGAGGTGCAAGAGTACAAGACAAAGCATCTCTACACAAGCAAGTGAGGGTCTGTAGACACAAGGCCAAACTGGGTGCAAAAACGCTCGTGGTCACAAGGCGGTAATGCATTGGTGAAAGTTCTGCCGCGTTGGCCTCAGATACCACATGTCGCACGACTACCTGGCCATGCTGCTGCAACTCTTGTAGAAGGAAGTAACGAAGCTAGATGTGCTTTGCCTTCCCAACCAGACGGGGCTCCTCGCACAACAGGAGAGCAGACCTGTTGTCGACGAACAAGACTGGGGGAGAGCGAGGCCACTCACCAAGGTCGGTAAGGAGGAAAGATAGCCAGTGAAGCTCCTGAGCGGCCATGGCCGCGGCGCACGCCTCTGCCTCACATCTGGAACTAGAGACGGACGACGCCCGAGTCGACCTCCACGAAACAGCTCCGGTCCCAAGACTAAATCAGTAACCCATGTGTAGACCGCATTGACTGTGCATCGTCGGCCCACGACGAGTCCGAGAAGCCTGCAAGTGTACCTGGCTGCTTCCCTCCAAGGACAAGTCCCACGCCTGATGTACTCGCCACATACTTTGCCACCCTCTTAGCAGTGTATCAGTGGGAAGGTCCGTGTCTCCCAAGCTCAACAAAGCGTGCAAGGACGCTAAGAGGGTAAGCTAGGTCTGGGCGAGTGCAGATTATCAGGATATGGACCACTGGACTCGCTCGTCCGAAGGTGGAACTGTGAGCCCATGATCCACAGCAAGAGGGGTGGGCTGTACCTTGGAGGATCTGCACGACCATTTGTAATTACGTCAGCATAATGGTGCGAGCTGCCCTGTCCCTGGTGATTTGCAGGCCAAGGTAGCGTTGCAGGTCACCAAAGTCAGTGCAAGTATGTCTCCTCTGTAGTTCCTGCTTCACGGAGGCCAGTGCGCATCGGTCGAGAGTGGCGAAGACCAGGTCGTCAATGTAGACCAGAACAAAGAACGGGGTCGAGCCACAGCGGACGAACATCGACGGGTCTGCAGACGACGGAAAGAAGTCAAGCGCTACAAGAGTCGTACGTAGTGTATCGTGCCACTTGCAGGGAGCCTGGCGCAGGCCATAGACCGGTCGATGCAGCTGCCACTGGGTCCCAGGAGGGAAAGTGCCAGTGAAGCCACGCAAACGATGCAGCCAGATCTACTAGTGCAGGCTCCCCTGAAGGAACGTGGTGGAGAAGTCTAAGGAGTGCAACTCATACTCGCACGGTTCTCCAACATACAGCAACACCAGTAGAGTGGTCATCTTCGGGGTGGGAGCGTGTTGGAGTAGGCTAGAGCTCGCTCTAGTCTTTATTGTGGTGTTCTTATATTATTTCTCCATGCTTAGAGAGAGTTACGCATTCAGGTTCATTTTAGGTTCATTTCGTAGTTCTTAATACAAATCGAACACACCCTAGGTTCAATTAGGGTCTCCAACCCTCTCTCTTTTGTACCTCGACATTTCTCTTCCTAGTTCAACTTTTTTGACACTACCTAACTCTCTCGCCATCCATGGCTCCTCTCATCTTAACATGGTATTCAGAGCGTAGTCCTAGGCGTTTCGTATTCATCCGCATTTCTTAGATAATCTCCGGCCCTTAGGCCGTTTTCCGTGCTACTTAGCTAGACGGCTTTTTTTTTTTTTTTTTTTTTTTTTCCCTTTCCTCTCGTTTCTTTCTTGTCACTCTTAGCATCCGCGCGGTTCTCTTCGTTATACTCGCTCGGGTGCCCTAATCTAGTCCGTAGCGCGCTTCCCTACCGTTCAGATTATCCGCCCACACCTTCCATCTTCATCCCGCTTCCTCCTCCTTACGTTTCGGACGGTAGCACGCCGATTTCCGCCCGTAACGCGCTCAGCCGTCCCCTCCCCCCTCCCTGTCTCGTCGCGCGCGCATTGCGCTCCTGCCGCCGCGCGCGCTAAGCACCGTCCAGCAGCGCGCGTGCCTGCCCTTCCTTGCGGCGCGCTCTGCCCTTCCTCAATCCGCCCCTTCCCTCACCCTCCTCCTCCTTCCCTCTCTCCTTTGTGCTTCCCTCTCCACTATCTCACCCCTCCTCCACCTCTTTTCTCTCTTCATCTGCTGCAGCTGGTAGCTGATTGTGTTGTGTAGCTGTTGTTCCTCCACACCTTCCCTCCTCCTCAACATCCTCCTCTCAATTGCTCAACTGCACACTCTTCCCAACTCTCCCTCCTCCTCTTGTTTCTCCCTTCAGCGGCATAGCAGCAGACTTCTCCACCGCTATCCCTCCTCCTCTGGTTTCTCCCCTCATCGGCGCAGCAGTAGATTCCTCCGCCATTTTCCCTCCTCTGGTTTCTCCCCTCATCGGCGCAGCAGCGGACTACTCCGCCATTTTCCCTCCTCCTCTGGTTTCTCCCCTCATCGGCGCAACAGCAGACTACTTCGCCATTTTCCCTCCTCTAGTTTCTCCCCGCATTGGCTCAGCAGCAGACTACTCCGCCACTTTCCCTCCTCTTTTTTCTCCCCTCATCAGCTCAGCAGCAGACTACCCCTCCCTTATTCTTCCGCCTCTTATACCTCTCCCCACATCTGCTCTGCAGCTGTTTTCTCCTCCTCATGGCGACCTCTCTCGCCCTCCCCTCCCTCCCTCTGCTGGTCCTTCAGCTTGCGCCCGATGGCAGTGCATTCAACTTCCCCAGTTGGCTGAACTGTCTTGAGCGCACGCTGTCTGGCACCCTCGTGAGTGGCTTTAACCTCTGGTTTGTCACTCAGCAGAGTGGTTCTGGCGACATTCCCACCTCTCCCTCTGGACCCACCTCTTCCTCCTCTGACCCCTATGCTGATGGCCTCCGTGCTGCCATTGCTGACACTGAGTGGCTTGTGACCACGGCGCAAGCCACCGCCACGGCTGCTCCTGACAATGCTGCTGCCCGTGACTTAGCTCGAATTCTTGTTGAGTCCCTCGAGAGCACCCGCAAGCGCCTTACTGAGCACCTCGCTGCCCCTTCTCCTCGCTCTGTGTCTACGCCCATTTCCTCTGCTCCATCTCACTCTAACCTTCTTGCTAACTCGCATGTTGCCAACGCACGTGCCTGTCTGGTCATCCTTGCCTGCCTCCCTCCAACTCTTCTCCCTCGGTGCTCGCACATCCGCTATGCCAAGGACCTTCTCGACTATCTTACCAAGCGCTTCCAGTCGCAGACTCCTATCAGTGTCATTGCCCTCTTACACGAGCTCACCTCTCTTCGCCTTGCTGATTTCACCACCATGGCGGACTACATCGCTCGTGTGCAGACACTGTCCTCCCAACTTGCCTCTCAAAGGTTTGAACTTTTCGATCATGTGTGCGGTGCCCTCCTCACAGGCCTCACTCCTGAATACATTGTTCATGTCACTCTGTATGGTGAGCGCCCTGCCGACTAGTGGTCGTTCTCTTGTGTCTCTGCCTTCCTCCTCCAGGCAGAGCTCAACCTCCGCAGCTGCCCTCCTACTGCCGCCGCTGTCACACCCTCTTCTGCCCCCCCCCCTCTCCCCACCTCCACTGCCGCCGTTGCTTCCTCTCGCCCTCGCAACACCTTTCCTCCTTGCACCTACGTCATTCGCCAGGGGCCTCGCAAGGGTCAGCCCTGCGGTCGCACCAATCATCCCGCCTCCTCCTGGTTCCAGAAGCTCACCGATGACTGGTTCCTGGCTGGCAATACTGGCCGCCCTCCCAGCTGGCTTCAACTCTCTCGCCAGCGTCGCCAGTCTTCAGCCCAGGCGGTACTTGTGGCTGGTGACTCTGGTACCAATGCTCAAACCTCTGCTCTCACTGTGACTATGCCTAGTCAGGATAGCATTCTGGGGGCTTCTCCCCTTATGGACCCTCGTTTTGCCATGATGTTTGCTCCTTCTGTTAATGGCAATGATTCTTAGTATCTTCGTCCCACAGCTGCTGCTCTTTCTCTCCCTCACACTCTTGAGTTTGTTCTTGACAGTGGTGCCATTGATTCTGTTTTTCGTGACGCTGGTGTGCTTCGCTCTTTTCCCCATCCCCTCTCCATTCAAGGAGCTGGGGATACCATGACCATGACTTGCACTGCTACCTCCTCTCTTCCTTGTCCTGCCTCCCCTTCTGGTGCTGAGACTGGCCTCTATGTCCCTTCCTGCCGCCACAACCTTCTCTTTCTCTCTGCTCTTCAACGTCTTTGTGTGCGAGCTATCTTTCCTGAATGTGACTCCTATGGTGATCTCTATCATCGCAACCGCCATCTTGCACGCTTTACTCTTTCCCCTAATCATTCGGTGGGCTGAGCAGGCTCGTCTACGCTCCCTCGTCATGTTGCGCGCTTCCACTCGGATGGTGGTGGCGAATTCTTTAATCACTCTCTCTCCTCTTACTGTGCCTCTCATGGCATTCGCCAGACCTCCACTCTTCCTCACTCACCCGAACAGAATGGGGTTGCCGAGCGTCGCAATCGCACTCTCATGGAAATCACTCGCTGCCTTCTTACCCATGCCTCCGCTCCCCACTCTCTTTGGAGCTATGCTCTTCTCCATGCCACTCTACTCTCTAACCTCCGCCCTCATCCTCTTCGCCCTAGTACCACCCCCTTCCAGCTTTGGACTGGCCGCCAGCCCTCTGTTCGCCCTCTTCGGGTCTGGGGGTGTGTCGCCCATGTTCTTATCAATCCAGTAGACCGGTCCCGTCAGGGTGGGAAACTCGCTCCCAAGATGCAGCTTTGTGCATTCCTTAGCATCAACTCTGACTGTCCTAGCTATCTTTTCTATGCCCCTTCCTCTCACCAACTCATCCGTAGCCAGGACGTCATTTTTGATGAGACTAAATCCCCATTCCATTCCCCCCCATCCGCCCCTCCTGTCCCCTCTCTTTACTGGTCTGATTTCGATCAGCTGCCGTCTGTCCTTCCCTCCTCTCCCTCCCCCCCTCCTATCCCGCCCCTCCCTCTGAGCCAGCCTCTACTGCCCCCCCTTTCGACATCATCTATGGCGCCTCTCCACCCGCCTCTTCATCTTCGGCTCCCCTCCCTTCCTCACTTCCATCTTCCTCTCCACCTCCTTCGTCTGTTCCCATTCCCCCCCCCTTCCCCACGCCTTACTCGCTCCATGACTCGCGCACTTTCAAATTTTCAGCACTCTGCTCTCTTCACTCGTCTTTCTCCATCTCAAAATGTTACTTTTCTTGAAGATCGCTTTGAGGAGCTCTTCAACATTCATCCTGTTTCTCCTCTCCTGTGTGTCACCGCTGGTGACTTTAGCAATTCTCCCACTCTTCTCTCTGTCGACACCGCTGCTATTCCCACCGCTGCTACTCCGAGGTTGTGTCGGGCTTTCATGCCACTGAGTGGATGGCTGCCATCATTGCTGAGTGTGAGGCATTCACCAGAACTAATTCATACATTGACTCTGTTCCCCCCCCTAGCGCCACCATTGTCAAAGGCAAATGGGTCTTCCGTGTCAAGCAGCTGCCCGGCGAACTTCCTGTCTTTAAGGCCCGCTACTGTGCCAAGGGGTTCACTTAGCGTGAAGGCATTGATTACTTTGCCACTTACTCCCCCACAGCCCGTCTCCCCACCCTTCGCCTCCTTCTTGACTTAGGTGCTCGTTGGAATTGGGAGATCCATTCCATGGACGTTTCCAATGCTTTCCTCTAGGGCGAGCTGCATGAGCGCATATTCCTTGAGCGCCCCACTGGCTTTCCTCGCCCTTTCCCTCCAGGCACGGTTTGGGAATTGAAACGACCTGTGTATGGCCTTAAACAGGCCCCACGCAAGTGGCACACCAAGCTCGCCTCCACCCTTCACTCTCTTGGCTTCTCTACCTCCACCTTTGACCCCAGTCTCTTCATTCGCACATCCCCCCACAGGCTTTACATCCTTGCCTATGTGGACGATTTGGTGCTGCTTGCTGAGGACTCCGCCGATCTTGCAGCTGTCAAGAAAGCCCTGCAGGTGCGTCTCATGTGCAAGGACCTTAGCGAGCTTCGTCACTACCTCGGCATGGAGATCTGTCGTGATCGTGCTGCCCGAACCATCTCTCTCTCCCAGTCTTTCTATATCCAGTCCATCCTCCAGCGGTTTGAGATGTCGCAGGCAGCTCAGGAGGCTCGCTGGCTCTCCTTTCTCCTTGCTGAGCTTGGTCACTCTTAGTTCTCTGTGACGCTCTCCTGTGATAGTGCAAGCATGATTCATCTCACTGAAAATCCTGTCTATCACGCCCGCAACAAGCATATCGAGGTCCGCTATTTCTTTGTGCGCGAGTTGGTGCAGTTTGGTTTCTTACGTCTACGCAAGGAGGACGCTGCTGCCAACCTTGCTGACATTTTCACCAAGGCCCTTCTGCGTGCGCCACACCATTTCTACGTGCGCGAGCTTGGGCTCACACGTCTCTCCACTTCTGGGGGTGTGCCGGTTCGCTAGGTGTTTTGCTCCGGAGCTTCACCTAGCCTGCGGGTGTGTTGGAGTAGGCTAGAGCTCGCTCTAGTCTTTATTTTGATGTTCTTATATTATTTCTCCATGCTTAGAGAGAGCTTTGCATTCAGGTTCATTTTAGGTTCATTTTGTAGTTCTTAATACAAACCAAACACACCCTAGGTTCAATTAGCGTTTCCAACCCTCTCTCTTCTGTGCCTTGACATTTCTCTTCCTAGTTCAACTTTTTCAACCCAACCTAACTCTCTCGCCATCCATGGCTCCTCTCATCTTAATAGAGCAAAGGTCTGGAAGAAGTGATGACTGAAACTTTTCACCACATAGCGCGCCTTGAATACTGATGGTGCTCCAGGCGGCTGCTCCACCTTGTAGAGCCACATGTCACTGACAAAGTTTGCCCCAGGTGGTGGGACGGCGTCGACGTAGGTGCCTGTGGATCTATAAGATGCCATCTCTGCTTCCTCAGCTACTATCTAGTACAAATCCCAGGGTCTCAAGACCGCCTCAGCGTGAGTGCGAGGAATCGGGATGTCAAGGGCATCTGGATCCCCCTCAGGGGCAAGAAGCATGGCGCAAAGATGAGGAACAGCGGCCGCAAGGAAATCAAGCTTGAAATTCTTGTCCTCTAGGACCTCCAAGGGGAAGACAGGAGCAACCCCAGAGGACGGAGAACGAGTAGTGCCGCTCACCAGGTGAGCGGCATAGTCAAGGCGGTGGGAAGAGGCAAAGGCACTGACAGTAGTGACAAGGGCCGAGACAGACAGCGGAGGAGCAATCGGGTGAGTGACCAATGCGGACAGAACATGGGATACGACAGGGCGAGAGGCACAGAGGTAGTCTGTCAACAGGTTGTGAAAGACAGTGAACGACGACTTAGGAGGCTGTGGAAGGACAGGTGGAGACGGAACATGAGAGCGAAGAACAAGGTGAAACGGACCGTCGGCACGGTAACGAGACCGACGAGGCTCTGGGGACACAGCACGACCGAGGGGAGAATGACAAGTCCACTGGGACGAGGAAAGGGACTCGACAGGGGGAACAGGAGGGGATGGTGGGGGACCAAAAACCAATCGTGCAGGCGCTGGGTCGGGCAGGTCGTGCAGCCGCTGCTGCTCCGCCTCCTCTGGCGTCCGCTGCGGCAGCACCTACCCCTGCTGCTGCTCCTGTGGCTCCTCCTCTGCTCTCTCTTACTGTGGCTACAACAACACCTGCTCTACCCTCTCCTGCTGCGGCCGCAACTGCACCTGGTGCTCCGGGTGGGACTCCTGATCTAGTCTCTCCTGATGTTGCTGCAACTGCGCCTCCTATGGGAATCGTGACTCCTCCTCTAATCTCTCCTGACACTCCGACAAAGACTATTGCTGCCGCTGCTGCCGCTACTGCCACCGCTGCTGCTGCCGCTGCTGCCGTGACTCCTCTAATCTCTCCTGGCGCTCTGACTAAGGCTGCTACTGAAGCTCCTGCTGCTGCTGCGGTCGTGGCTCCTCCTCTACTCTCTCCTGACGACTCGACTGAGACTGCTGCTGCTGTTGCCATGACTCCTCTACCCCCTCCTGGCGCTCCGACAAAGACTGCTGTCGTTGCTGCTGCTTGTGAGAAATGAGGAATGAATGACTAAGAAGAATGTGGGTACAAGTAGGAAACCTAGAAATGTTGTACCGTATAGTGTCTACCCCACTACAGCCTAGATAGACCATAGCATATAAGTTTGACCATAGGAAAAGTGGGGGAGAACAAGTGATCACCAGACCAGTCAAGCAAAGCAAAGCAAGCTCAGGGTGGATCACAACGTCACCACACATTCCGAGCACAAGATCAAGGCTACAAGGCCAGTTCACATGCAAGATCATATATAAAGGTAAACAAGCAAGTGCAGGTATAGAAAGATCACAGTACAAGCAAGGTCAAGAAGTGAGCAAGTGAGGCCAAGTAGGCACAAGACCTAGCATCGTACAGAAGCGCTGATGATCACAAGGCGGACGGACCTTGGTAAAGATATCAGCAGTGTTGGCCCCAGAGGCCACATAGGTGAGGCGAAGCTGACCACGCTGCTGCAGCTCACGAGCAAGGAAGTAGCGAAGAGCAATGTGCTTCGTTCTGTGCTCCAATCTGTGCTCCCGACACAAGGCCAGCATGGCCTTGTTGTCTACGTACAGAACTGGAGGAGAACAAGGCGGCTCTCCTAAGTCAGTCAGCAGGTAGGTGAGCCAGCGTAGCTCTTGTGCAGCCATGGCCCCCGCGTAGATCTCAGCCTCATAGCTAGAGCTCAGAACAGAAGACGGGCGGGTAGACCGCCACAAAACAGAGCCGGAACCAAGGCTGAAGGTGTAACCCTGTGACGACCGCTGCGTAGCCTGGTCGTCAGCCCAAGAAGCGTCCGCGTGACCTGTGAGGACCACTCGACGTCGCCCTCCAAGCACTAGCCCCATGCCCGACGTACTGCACAAGTAGCGCAACACCCTCTTCGCTGGAGCCATATGCACTGGTCGGTGTCTCCCAGGAGCAACATAGCGTGCCAAGATGCTAAGAGGGTATGCAAGGTCAGGTCGTGTGCAGGTCATCAGGTACATGAGGCAGCCAACAAGCTCTGGGTACGGGCAACTCGGCTCTACGGACTCATCCGAAGGCAGAGCTGAGAGCGAGTGGCGAGTAGACAGAGGAATGGCCTGAGGCGAGGAGTACGTGAAGTCGAAGCGCTGAAGGACCTGCTGCACCATGTGTGAGTGAGTCAGGGTAATGGTGCGCTGTGCTCTGTCCCGGGTGATCTGCAAGCCAAGATAGCTGCGCAGTTTACCCAGGTCTGTGCATGTGTGTCTCTTCTGCAGCTCGGACTTTACGTGGGCGAGTCCAGCAGTGTCAGCA